AGGGGGGAGAGAGAGCCTGGGGGGGAGAGAGAGAAGGGGGGAGAGAGACGGGGGGAAGAGAGAGAACGGGGGAGAGAGAGACTGCCCCCCGCGAGTATCACGGGTCCCCCGCGAGTATCGCGGGTCCCCCCTTGTTATCTCTATAGCTGAGCTTTAAAAAGCCCTATTCAAAGGAGGACGAACAAATGTCATCAGCTGATTATGAGGAATTAGGATGAATAAGTGGAGCGGTGGAGCTTTATCTTCTCATCTGAATAGGGTTGCCCCTTTTTTCTTTTTTTTTGCTAACAGTGCTACTGTAGCTTTAACATAGGCAGAAATTCCATAGGAACTCATTTCTCCAGAACCTGCATCCAACATTATTAGAAATTTCACATGCCTGACTGAAGAGAAGTGAGAAGGTGACCATCATGGAGACCTTTAGGGTGCAGGGATAATATTTAGTTTTTCCCACATGAATTCCCAGCTTTTGTCCCCTTTAAGAGTTAAGCATGATGCCATGTTGCACATTTGCACTGATATTTACAAACCCACCTAATCAGGATTGCAAATTCAGATTTCAAACTCACCATCGTTAGCCTGAACATCAGTGCACACTTAATGCTGCACTGTGGTCGACTCTGGAAAAGGCTGGTGTGACTGTTCAGGCATCAAAAGGAGAGACAGTGCCAGAGACTCCAGGGCTTCAGTGGCTAGAAACCAGGAATGTCATGTTTTAGATCTTACCAGCTTTTCAGCTGGCTAAAGTTCTGCCGGCCAACTGGATTATGCGGGTGTAGCTGTACCTGTTATAATTTATTTATTATTTATATTTATACCCGGCCCATCCCGCAAGCAGGCTCAGGGTGGCTAACAGAGCGGTAAGGACACAAGATGGCATCTCTCCATCCTTCCATCCAACAGGCTTTGTTCTCACAGAAGTTTCCTTCCCCTGTATACATTTACTCATTGCTTGAACACATCAATATGTTCTCCATTTTTCTTAATTTTTCCACCCAATGCAACTAGGCGGGCGCACATTCAGCCAGTGCTGCACTAGCTGCACTGGTTGCCAGTTGAGTACCGAGTCTGGTTTAAGGTCCATGGACCAGCATATCTGCAGGGTCGGCTCTCCCCATATGCGCCCCAAAGAGCCTTGCACTCTTCAGACCGACGCCATCTGGCAATCCCTGGCTTGAAAGACGTCTGCCTTACCTCGACCAGGGCCAGGGCCTTTTCAGCCCTGGCCCCAGCCTGGTGGAACACACTCCCAACTGAGATCAGGGTTCTGAGGGATTTATTGCAGTTCCAGCCGGGGCTTACAAAATGGAGCTGTTCTGCCAGGCCTTTGGTTGAGGTGGCAGACATCAAGTAACATCTGGCCTCCCCTGCTTAAGTGACCGTGGCTCTAGTTACATCTGGGCTGCATGGACTTAGTGATCTGTTTGTGCAGAACGCATCCCCCCATCCCTGGCATGAGTCCAGCAGACACTGAAGAAGAAGAGATTACCCGCTGTGCAGTTTAATAACTCCTGAAATTAGTGGACTAAATCTTGGTCATCTGCATTGCTGTTTTGATGGACTGTTTTATGAATGATTGTATGGTTTTATTGGATTGTATCTTGTAAGCTGCCCTGAGTCCACTTGCAGGGTAGGGTGGGATATAAGTCTCAAAAATAAATAAATAGGAAGTTTATTTATGTTTCAGACATTCAAGCACATGCGCACAGACACACCAAGCCAAAGCAGAGATGGTTTACATTAATGGTTTGCCTCGGGCTTATGTAAACAACAAGAATTTTTAATACCTAATGCCAGAGATGCTAAAAGACCATGTGTCCCAAATGTCTCAAAATGGCCTCCTAAAATCCCTTTCTGTTGTCTCAAAGCCTCTGGTCCCAATGTCACTATAACCCATTCTCAGACCCCCAGTGGCCTCTTAGCGGTAGGGAGAGTTGGCAGGACATCTGCTGGTGTGACGTTGGGTGGAAACCATGCTGAAGTGCGCTGTTGGAGAAGCCAGTCGATTGTGGTTGGGCTGTAACTCATGCAGCATTCACCCGCAACATAACAGTGCTTTTTTTATATCGTAAAAGGCCTTTTTGGCTTTCACCACTGGAGCATAGCTTGGCTTAGAAGCAAACTC